AAATGGCGCAATGTGGCTCGGGGGGGGGGACCAGTCGCCGCGCGCGGCGTGCGGCAACAGGAAATTCGTGAGCCAGGGGGAATGTAGCCAATTCAGGGGGGTTGGGGGTGAGGGCAGTCACTTGACATGCGTGAGAAGCTGGAATTGTTCCGTGAGAAGCTGGAATGTTCGAGTTACACAACATCGCTGAGCCGCGCGCGGCGACTGCCCCCCCCCCCCCCGAGCCACATTGCCTCTTTTTGATATGACGAAGGTGTTTATGTACAGGTTTATTAATGTTCACACAACTGTTTGTTTTTCTCGTAGTCGTGTATTAAATTTGAGTTGATATGTATTGAATAATAATATTGTTATCACAGTGAAATATAACCATTGATCTTTCACAGATAATGTAATAATGGTCCAAAGCAAAATGGCACTGTGTGATGGCAAATTAAGTCGAAATCTAATAAAAAGTTCTCTACAGGAGTTGTATATTCGCATAGGGTCACAACTTTTAGAGCATATCCTTGCTGACCTAAAGCTCGAGCAGCGTCGAATAAGGACAGGGTTATTTTACACCGTCTCACGGGGGGCGGATCCCTCTTATATGGAACTCGCATGGCCCTTCGATAAAAGTCGATCCCGTGTGGGCTCCTGATTGTGGTCCGTTGGGACAGAAAGATCATCATGATCATGAGTGGAGCTTGGGTTCCCGCAGCGAGAAAGCTTCGCGCAGCGAAAAGCGAGAATTTGCTTTCTATCCAAGCTACCCACATCCTGGGCTACTGATGCTGTAATGTCATGTGATGCCCTAAACTCAGACTCTAAATCTGGAATTAAAACAGGCTTTCGGCAAAAGAAAATGTGTGGACTACAGTCGAGGATTCCTTGATAGTCGCTTCTGCCGTGGTGGGGATAAGCGGTCCTATTTGGCATATCTGGGGGTTTTAGGGTCGGCAAATGGACTTATTGATGAGGTAAGAAAATGAAATTGTGGTGTAAGAGACTCAAAATTTTTTGGACCCAACGGTTGTTAGGAGAACCCAATGATGAAAATGACTGCTTCGGCCTCCCCTGTATGTGGTTATATGCACTTAAAGGCACCTTCTGCGATAATCTGTCTGTAGGAATGTCCTCCGGGAAAAGGTAGTGTTCCGCAAGGGCAAAGTTTGCACCAACTCAGTGTAGGAACTTGCACGACAGGGACACTAGTTGTAAGGCCTAACAATGTTCAATTTGCAGGGCCTAGAAATTGGCATCATTTTCTGTGTCTGCGTCTCGCTCGTCCACCGACTCTGTCCTTTAAAGTCTCCCTTGTTCGAACCTCCAGTGTTTCGTTGGGGTGTCCCCCAAGAGGCCCGTCGCGCGGCGAAGGGAGACACGCAGATGCGGCAAA